GAGGCTGAACTGACCGAGCTCGGTGAGCCAGCGAGCCACAGCTCCGTACACCTCATCCAGGATCAGGATGACCACCAGGTTGATGATGGCAGCTGTGGTTTTGACAGTGAGTCGCACGTTGGAGCGGGTGGTGGGGTTGGAGCTCATGTGCAGCGCTGCTTTGGTGGAAATGCGGTACAGAATGACTCCAAATACAATCGCAAATGTCACGCCGATCTGAAAACGGCATTCAACAGCGACATTAAAGTGACAGTTCATGACACCCCCCCCATCACTCCTGGTGTACTTTCAAAATATAATACCATATAAACAGCTTCATAAAATAGCCCATAATCATGTACTGAATAGATAACAGTTGCAGCATTTAAGGTGGAACAGAAAATTCATATAAGAAGTGAAAAGGAAACTTTACTCACACGTTTGATGCAAATATGTAATGATATTATGATATTAATTATGTGTGAGTGATAACTGTAACAAAGAACTGACTGCCTTACCATTAACAACATCATGACGATATTAGTCATATAGGCTGGACATCTGTCTCTACAGGTCAGCTTCTCTTTCTCTGACTGTGAGACAGAAAACGTTTCTCAGTTATTCTGTATTACAGAATCGATAATTATATAGAGGAGCTTCCATCTGACAGATGAACAGAATGATGTATTTTAAAAGTTGAAATTGTTTGAAAACATGCAGTTTTTGGCACAAAGTAAAGACATTTTTATTGTCCTAGATCTACAGAGTGTAAACTACCCAGCTGTCAGATGGAAACAGCCTTGATTTCAGAAGAGGAACCAGATCAGTTTTCCAGCTTTAAAGCTGAAGTGTCTGCAGAACTGAGCAGAACTTCATGTCCAGACAGAGGGACAGTCCAGTCCACTCACAGTGAGGGAAAACAAGCGTTCAGACACTGTGTGTTATTTAATATACTTCCAGTTCAAATATCCACTTCATGTTTAAACACATAATAGTCCATTTTTATAATCAAACACAGGTTTTAAAAATTTTATTTATAAAATAAATCTAATAAATATAATTTTATTTATTTATAAACATTATATTGATTATGTGTAAAATATACATTTAAATAATTTGTAAATATTAAAGCTGTAAAAATAAAATGTTGCCATCGATTGGGAATATTTCACGCATCAAGCAGCAAAAACAGTGAAGGTGAAGGAGCTTCCTGCGGTTCTCAGTGAAAACATTATTAAAGAACACTCAAGTTTAATAAGGTACACCGTAAAACATCCCCGTCGGTGTCCCATAAAACTTAAGTGGGAAGTTTACGGAATCACAACTAATCGTCGCCGAACGCAGCGCAGGATTTCTCTCAGACTGACGATCAAGAAAGTGAGAGAAGCTTGCAGTCATTTGAAAAGAGCTGCAGGACCTGAAAGCAGCAGAACAGCAGCTACACAGCGCAATCAAGGTGTGAAATGCAGGGGGTCCAGGGGGGTCCAAGATTCCCAAATTAACCTTGGCCCCTAAATGACTCAAAAAGAACATTTTTGTCCCTGAAAATAAACTCATGACATTCTGCTGTCTGTTAGAGAAAAACACAGAGTCAGTGAAGCTCACTGTTTATCTGCTTCTCCCATAATCAGCTTCTGTCTCTGGTGTTCTTAACTAGCTAGAGCTGCAGCAAAGCTACCAAGCATCAGCGCCGCTATGGAGAGAGAGTTAGCACACAGACCACACGGGACCCCCGACGGGGATTTCACACTGAGCGCAATCCTCCCCGCTCATACAGCCCACGCTAATCTTTTCTGATAAAAACAAGCTCAGGGATGCGCATCTAAGATTCACACTCAAACGTCTAGACAGATCAGAACTGTTTTGGAACAATGTTCTCTGATCAGACGAAACAAAACTACAACTCAGGCAATAATTCAGCTCGTCGTGTTGGAGAAACAACATTGTGCACATGATCCAACTTCAGCTCCTTGAAACTAAACTGTATTTGTAAAACGTAAAGCGTCCTGCAGCTGAAACTCAGCCATGATCTCAACTTCATGGAATGAGTTTTATGAAACCGCCAATCAATACTGTGATATCATGTGATCTTGTTAAATCATATACTTTTAAACCACTCATTTCTCCTGATCAATGGACATGAACAAAAAAGAGAAGATGGTTTGTTGGGCAGCTGAAAAGAGTGACAGCCAGAAAAAAAGATATGAAAATGATAAAAATGCTGCAAATATGTAAGTTTTACCTCATATATAACTTTTTGGCGAGAACAAAACAAAACTGTACAGACCGTCTACTGCAGTGATCAGCGTATCGTCCACAACTTTGTTTTTTAATTGTTTCATGTGTCAAGTTGCATGGAAATTATGCAGGGAAAGCCAATAAAATGAGTCATGAGCCAATGTCTGTGCTCGTAGGCGGAGTCTGCCATTGAACGATGAGTGCACAGCTCCCCCTACTGACCAAAGTTTATACTGTTAAAATTACGACTGCTGGAAAAAACAAAACATCGTCGATTTTAAAATGTTAGAATGATGTGATTTTAATTATTGTCCTAAAATATCATATTTAAATGCTGTATAATTGCAGTGTGTCACTAGCTGTGTTTTGTATTGTTTATTTTGTGGGCGGAGTCAGACATATAAAACAAAAGCACAGTGTAAAATGTCTTTAAACGGAAAGCGTTTATGTCAATGTTTATGTAAAATAAGCACACACAATTTTGGAATTGATTGCCACATAAACAAATTATTAGTATTATTGTTGTTAGATATTTAAGTCATTATTATAGATATTGATTTTATTTTTAGTTAATTGACCACAAATAAATATTTTTTTTATTGTTTATAAAACAGAAGAGGCTGAACACTTGAGTCCTCTCACTGTAACTGTGGCTGGAGTTTTAGGAAGATGCATTAGTTTTTCCAGTCTTTCCACACAGTTCCTTGATGATGACGATGATGAAGAGTTTCTGCTGAATGGCTGGAGAAACATTTTATTGCAATTTGACATGCTGGGCCTCCAGGGCTGAATAAGGTTAAAGGTCACCCACAAAACATGCAGCAAAATCTGCATAAACACACACAGACACACTCAGAGTGTCCACATTCAGAGCTCTGACAGGCTTATATCTCACACAGGTGTGTGTGTGTGTGTGTGTGTGTGTGTGTGTGTGTGTGTGTGTGTGTGTGTGTGTGTGTGGCTTTTATAATTTCTAAATTTAAACCACACAAACACACAAAGAACATCATTCACCTTCTTATATCGACCACAGGCTGCCGATATAACCAGGACAAAACTTCACAGGTGCACAATCACCTTTACATCTCACACTGTGGGAGGGGTCAGTCTGCTGTGTGCTCTGTCATTGATCATTCTGGACATCAGGCAAACCAAACTTAACCATAAACACTAATCCTGTATAAGTTTAAACATTAAACCCTAAAGCCTAAACACTAAATCCTAAAGAATAAATACTAAACACTTCCCACTAAATCCTTCACAGCAACCCCTACAATACAGAACATTCTTGACAAACCAGACAACACACACTGCACCCTATACCCAATACACTAAACTCTATACACTAACCTCTAAACTCTACATACTAACCACTATACTCTATACACTAACCCCTACACTCTACACACTAACCCCTAAACTCTAAAAACTAACCTCTACACCCTATACACTAAACTCTATACACTAACCCTTAAACTCTATACACTAACCACTAAACACTATACACTATACCCCTATACCGTATACACTATCCCCTAAACTCTATACACTAACCCCTAAACTCTATACACTAACCCCTACACCCTATACACACCCCTAAACTCTAAACACTAACCCTAAACTCTATACACCAACCCCTAAACTCTATACACTAACCTCTACACCCTATACACTATCCCTTAAACTCTATACACTAACCCTTAAACTCTATACACTAACCCCCAAACTCTATACACTAACCTCTAAACTCTACATACTAACCACTATACTCTATACACTAACCCCTACACTCAACACACTAACCCCTAAACTCTAAAAACTAACCTCTACACCCTATCCACTAAACTCTATACACTAACCCTTAAACTCTATACACTAACCACTAAACACTATACACTATACCCCTATACCGTATACACTATCCCCTAAACTCTAAGCACTAACCCTAAACTCTATACACTAAACCCTACACCCTACACACTAACCCTAAACTCTACACACCAACCCCTAAACTCTAAGCACTAACCCTAAACTCTATACACTAACTTCTAAACTCTATACACTAACCCCTACACCCTATACACCAACCCTTAAACTCTATACACTAGCCCCTAAACTCTATACACTAACCCCTAAACTCTATACACTAACCTCTAAACTCTATACACTAAACCCTTAAACAGTATGCACTAAACCCTACACCCTATACACTAACCCTTGAACTCTACACACTAACCCCTAAACTCTATACACTAACCTCTAAACTCTATACACTAAACCTTAAACTTTATACACTAAGCCCTACACCCTATACACTAACACTTAAACTCTATACACTAGCCCCTAAACTCTATACACTAACCCCTAAACTCTATACACTAACCTTAACCCCTAAACACTACATCTTAAACTTTAAACACTAGCTCATAATTCTACACTCTGAACACTAAACCCAAAACTCTGAACACTAATCCTTACACTATAAACACTCTTCTGTTCACTCTGAACACTAAACCTAAAATCTGAACACAAATCCTGACATTGTGAAAACTAAACCCTACACTCTGAACACTAAACCCTACACTCTGGACACCAGACCCTACACTCTGGACACCAGACCCTACACTCTGAACACTAATCGCTACACTCTCAACACTAATCCCTACACTATGAACACTAAACCATACACTCTAAACACTAAACTCTGCACTCTGAACACTAAACACTAATCCCTGCACTCTGAACACTAAGCCCTACACTCAGAACATTAAACCCTAAACTCTGGACACTAACCCCTACACTCTGAATGCTAATCCTACACTCTGAACACTAATCCTCACACATTGAACACTAATCCCTACACTCTGAATGCTAATCCTCACACTCTGAACACTAATCCTCACACATTGAACACTAATCCCTACACTCTGAATGCTAATCCTACTCTCTTAACAGTAAAGTCTGTGCTAAAGTGGATCCTGAAGCCCATCTGTCTGGCGCTGACTATGTTCAGGTGCAGGAGCCCCAGCATGAGAGAGACAAGCATGTTCTGTGGTGTGTGTGTGTGTGTGTGTGTGTGTGTGTGTGTGTGTGTGTGTGTGATGGAGACGAGTGTGTAATACCATCTTCTGGCCCCTCATGACTGAGTGAACAGTTCGCTTCCATTTATTTACAGACGACTCTCCTGTAGGCCTCTAACACACACACACACACACACACACCCTGCTCAGAGAAATAATAAACACACACACACTAATAATACACGCACACAAACAAACCACTCAGAGGACAAGAAACACACACACTAATAACACACACACACTGATCAGAGAGACAAAAAACACACACTAATAACACACACTCACACTAATGCTCTCTCTCTCTCTGAGTGCATATGTGTGTGTGTGTGTGTGTGTGTATGTGTGTGTGTGTGTGTGTGTGTTTGTGTAATCAGTTGTACCTTTTGTGCTTTGTGTTCTTTTTTGAGAGATTTCTGCATCACTCTGAACTCGTACTCCGCTCTCGGGTGGTCCTGAAAAACACACACACACGCAAACACACACACATACATACACACACACACACACACACACACACACACACATACACACACATACATACACACACATACGCACACACACACACACACAAACGCGCACACACACACACGCAAACACACACACACACACACACATGCACACACACAAACGCGCACACACACACACGCACACACACACACACATACACACACATACATACACACACATACACACAAACGCGCACACACAAACGCGCACACACACACACACACACACACACACAGACTGTGAATAGGATTTTTTTGTTCTGATCCACACACACACACACACAGACTGTGAATAGGATTTTTTTGTTCTGATCCACACACACACATGCAGGTGCAGAGAGATGCTGGTGTTCTGTAGGCTGGTGCTTTGATGGTAAGAGTCCCCACTGACAGTACAAATTTGTTTAGTGCTTGTTTAAAAACTTGCCGTACAATTTTTTTAATTCATATAAATCACAGCAGGATTCAAATAACCATACAATCGATTATAACAGTTAACATGATGGAGATCTAAATTAATTTAACCGTTACTAATAACCCTAACTGTGTTACTGCGCTAATACGGAGGAGACGGTTCTGTAAACGCGTTACTGCGCTAATACGGAGGAGACGGTTCTGTAAACACGTTACTGTGCTAATACGGAGGAGACGGTTCTGTAAACACGTTACTGCGCTAATACGGAGGAGACGGTTCTGTAAACACGTTACTGCGCTAATACGGAGGAGACGGTTCTGTAAACACGTTACTATGCTAATACGGAGGAGACGGTTCTGTAAACACGTTACTATGCTAATACGGAGGAGACGGTTCTGTAAACACGTTACTGTGCTAATACGGAGGAGACGGTTCTGTAAACACGTTACTGTGCTAATACGGAGGAGACGGTTCTGTAAACACGTTACTGCGCTAATACGGAGGAGACGGTTCTGTAAACACGTTACTATGCTAATACGGAGGAGACGGTTCTGTAAACACGTTACTATGCTAATACGGAGGAGACGGTTCTGTAAACACGTTACTATGCTAATACGGAGGAGACGGTTCTGTAAACACGTTACTGTGCTAAATGAGAGGAGACGGTTCTGTAAACACGTTACTATGCTAAATGAGAGGAGACGGTTCTGTAAATGCATTAGTGTGCTAATACGGAGGAGACGGTTTTGTAAACATGACTAAGCGTTCACTGTGGTTATTTTCCACACAGTAACCTAAATATGAGGCCCCGTCACTGACACAGCTCTGCTGCTGAGTGTGTGTTAGGGGAGCGGGTGTCTTCAGTGGAAAGAGAGTGTATTAGAGTGTTTTAGAGTGTTTTAGACAGACTGTGCAGAAGGACTGTAGAGTATAATGGGGTCTCAAACTGTTTAAACAATTCACATATTTAAAATGTATCTTTAAATCCAGCTAATTAATCTTTTTTGTCTCATTTTTCTGTAGCTAAATATTTCCATCTGACAGTAGATCTGCTTCACTGTGTTTGGTTCCCCAACAGAACCTCTAATATATCAGCTCAGACTGATGATGTTAAAGCAGAACAGATCCATTCAAACACAAACCTGACTGTAATTTCTCTACAGCTGACACACACATTACTGATTGACTCAGCCGGAGACACAGAGCAGAACAAATAACGAATGAAGTCAATCAAACTGATTCACTGAAAACTCAGAATTAACTGCTCAACACTTCATTTACACTCAGCAGAAACAATAATGCTTTTACAGTAAGAGTCCCACACTGTCAAATGTAAGATTACTAGATTTACTTGAACACTAATATGTTTACTAAACACTCAGTATATTTATTCTGCTAATAATTATTATTATTATAGTTATTTTTAGAATAAAACTTTAGTAGTAGTTGTAGTTGTGGGTTGTGGTGACAGAAGAATTGTTAATAAGGTGCGTTTAAATGCAAAAGTTTAAACACCCCCAGTCAAATGGCATTTGCATGTTTTTTCTAAGTGTAAATAATTGAACATATATTCTACAGAGAACACACTTAAATATGATATTCATAGTGCACATTTTCTATTTATTCTGTGAGTATAATATTTTAGAAAAATATTAAAATATTAAAATATCTTTTGCACAGGCCACATTTTATGTTCTATTATTTTTCTTCAGTGTGTTGAATTCAGTAAATAAACAGTAGTTGTGTATTAAAGTGTAAAACTGTGTTCTCTGTAACTTATTTACACTTAAATCAACAACAATATGGAATTTGACCAGGAGCACACAAGCTATTATAGTTTCACTGTAACACTATAACTATATATTCTAGTTTATAATCTTAAGTAAATTTAGGTGAAAAAACATTATGCAGTTAATATTCATACTTAAAAATTGTAGAACACTTTTTTCATGTATTTTTTTTTTTTGCCCAGCCCCCCTTTGGGGAAGTGGCTCCCAGGTCATTTGAGTTTGAGACCCCTGACTTACAGGGTGTGACTTTTATTTTGAAGTACACAGAGTATTTTTGAGAAAAGGCTGCTGGAAAGATGTTCTGAGGGCGGAAAAAGAGCCAAAGAGAAAGAAAACATCTGAAAATGGGAAACAGAGAGATCATTAAAGAGCTTTTACTGTTGAAACGTTCCAAACCTTCTGTGCTTCCTACAAACACCAACGAGGAGAAAAGGACGACAAATTGATGAATTAGACGTGATTAAATGATAATGTGTGTTACATGAGTAAAGACTGAAAGTGATTATGTTTGATTATTCGTGATTAAAGGTTGGGCTGTAATTTATCACTGAATATAAGAGAGTAAAATATAAACCGGCTGTGTTTGTGTCTGAAATCTCTCACTGCTTCCTCACCTCCTCCTCCTCAAAGCCTGTGAGATCCCATTCATAGTTCAGACGCATCTGCCTCCGCTTCCAGTGCTCCATGAAGAACGCCGCTGAAAAACACATTAGACAGCGACAGTTCAGTGAAATTCCCCCAGTTTCCCCTCTTACTCTAAATGCAGATGCTCAGCCGAGGCCTGTTTGGTGTCTGAAGTTTGCTTCTTCATTTTTAGCACTGGAGCTAAGAGGCTAATGTAGTTAACAAGTAATGGAAGCTTATATTGCACTGATTAGCATGGCGCTAACTGCAGGGCTAAGTCATCACACACTGCTTCCTTCGGGTCTGAGGCAGTAACTGCTACACCGTTTAAGGTGAAACGAAAATTCCAATAAGAAGCAGACGAACGGGAAGCTGAGTTCAGCTTCATGTCTCAAACTGCGTGGAGGTGTTCAATAATCTCTAATAGACTCATTGATTATGGTTTCTGACACAGTGTGACTCACTGTTACCTATAAACACAGACTAAAGTGAAAGATAAAATTCACGCTTCAAGCAGCTGCTACTGGTTTTAGTTATGTTAACATACTTCGATTTACTTGTTATCAACATTAGTTTTATTTTCTGCTAAACTTCGAGGGCTCCTCCTAATGCTATTCAAAAACTAGTCAGTGTTACCATAATAGGAAAAACATTAGCTCTGGACTTTTAGCAGTAATTTCCCTGCAGGATGTTTGATGTATTGATGATAGATTAACACTTACAGACAGTTACAGAAACATGAAAAGAAAAATGTGTGAATTTGCATTTTTGTTGTATAGTTTTGCTCAGATAATGATTTCAATTAACAAATACCAACAATTAAACTGGTAATTTCATTTTGTTTTGTTTTTGACCAACTAGGTGAAAAGGGCAGGGCTCCCAGTGTTCCTCTTAATATAACACAATATAATATAACATAACAGTATTATATATAACAGAGTTCTTAAATTTCCCAGCGTAATGGCCGTCTGCACTGCGCTGAGCTGCTCCAAGCTTTGGATCATGACGTTGTTGTTGTTATTGCAGGTGTGATTAATGGGAGGAAATGAAAGAGTAGAAACATTTGATGCATTTCTTATTACACTCCTCATTCCATGGCCACACTGGAGGAAATAACGTGACAGGAAAGGTGCTAAAATTAGAGAGAAATTATCAATTATTAACATTTTAATTTCAGAGATGATCACGTGTCAAGAGTAAATGATGAAGGGGCTAATTTTGCCTCTGCTTTCATATGAAGCTCCATAAAATAATGTAAATGTTCAAATAGTGGGACCCGCAAGACACAGCTCACCTGAACACTGCAGGTGTTTGAACTCAAGCCCTCATAATTTGGCTTTAATATCTGCTGTTTGTCTGTGTCATAGAGGAGTAACTCTATGACACAGACACGATTTGATTCACGATTTGATTCACGATACTGAGATTCTGTGTTTACACAATGAAGTGAAATGATGACTGTATGTTTGTTGTTGCAAAGCGTACTACTGAGATTAGATCAGGGAAGTGTATGACATAAGCATGCATAATTAATAGAGTGTGTGTTCCTCACAGTGCACTTCACAATGTCACAACGCATTGTAACTCATTGTAACTGCCTAAAGACTACTGCGTCATCTGAAGGTTACCAAACACTGTCTAAAGACTACTGCAGCTGTCTACAGGCATCTGCACACTGTCTAAAGACTACTGCAGCTTCTATAGGCATCTGCACACTGTCTAAAGACTACTGCACCATCTAAAGACATCCGCACACTGTCTAAAGACTACTGCGCCATCTAAAGGCATCCGCACACTGTCTAAAGACTGCTGCGGCCATCTAAAGGCATCTGCACGCTGTCTAAGGACTACTGCGTCATCTAAAGGCATCTGCACACTGCCTAAAGACTACTGCACCATCTAAAGACATCCGCACACTGTCTAAAGACTACTGCGCCATCTAAAGGCATCTGCACACTGTCTAAAGACTACTGCGCCATCTAAAGGCATCTGCACACTGTCTAAAGACTACTGCAGCTGCCTAAAGGCATCCGCACACTGTCTAAAGACAACTGCAGCCATCTAAAGGCATCCTCACACCATCTAAAGACATCTGCAGCTGCCTAAAGGAATCCGCAGCCATCTAAAGGCATCCACACACTGTCTAAAGACTACTGCGGCATCTAAAGGCTACCACACACCATCTAAAGACTACTGCAGCTGCCTAAAAACTATCACGCACCGTCTAAAGAATACTGCTGCCATCTAAAGGCTACCACACAACATCTAAAGGCTACTTCACACCGTCTAAAGATTACTGCAGCCATCTAAAGGCATCTGCACACTGTCTAAAGACTACTGCGCTGTATAAAGGCTACCGCACACTGCCTAAAGACTACTGCAGCCATCTAAAGACATCCACACACTGTCTAAAGACTACTGGGCTGTCTAAAGACATCCGCACACTGTCTAAAGACTACTGCGCCATCTAAAGGCATCTGCACACTGTCTAAGACTACTGCAGCTGCCTAAAGGCATCTGCACACTGTCTAAAGACTACTGCGCCATCTAAAGGCTACCACACACCATCTAAAGACTACTGCAGCTGCCTAAAAACAATCACGCACCGTCTAAAGAATACTGCTGCCATCTAAAGGCTACCACACAACGTCTAAAGGCTACTGCACACCGTTTAAAGACTACTGCAGCCATCTCACATAGAAAAGCAGGATGTCAAGCAACACATCACCTACTACAAATTTGAGGTCTTGATATGGTTTAGTAGTGCAAAACAGCATAAAGATGTTGATAGATGCATGACGCATCACTGTCTCTGGTCACTGCATTTCGACGATAGCCTCGTAGATTCATACGTTCCTTTTATGATGGGTTGTGTTATTCAAGTATTTTTCAAATAATGTTTTACAAACTCAAATATCAAATTTGACTGGAATGCCCATCACTACCATCCACCTGCAAACCAAACATGTGCTCTACACTGGTCCCCTATCACACAGGGCTAAAAAACTTAGAGTTATCCTGAACGATCAACTTCATTTCTCAGATCATGTAAAATCTGCAGAGTCTGCTTCACAACATCAGGACAATACAGTCCTCCTGACTGTTGTTTAAGTTCTATTCATCTTCAGACTTGAGTATTACTGCATTTAATCAGTTTTCAGTGTCAGAGACGGACGAGACTGAAGAGAGGAGGCTAAACATATACAGCTGTTTGACTTAAAGTGATAGTACAGTCAATAAAAACAGCCCCCCCCCCCACAGTCTCCCCATTACTACAGATGTATTCAATCAGCCCTTATGAAAAAAATATATATATATGGACATGTACATTTTTGTATATTTGACAACCAGCTTAAATGCATAGCAGTTCATGCTGAAAAACATTCCAAACACTAAACAAATATATTTCAGAATATGTTGCCATATTAACTAAATATTTTTCCAAATGTATTTTAAAATGTATGGGGAAATATTACATAAAGAAATGTACAAAAATAAATGTATTTAAATATGTTTATCAAATCCATTTGAATATGTATGAAAATATCCAAAATCCTGTCTGATGCATTTCACTGTCTGTGTGTCTTCATTTTAAATATGATCTAATGATCCTTTATCAGGACAGAAGCAAGTGTTGTGGGTATTGATACTCTGTGAAAATGCAGTTATGATCTGATATCTTGTTTATGTGAAATACATTGTGTGTGAGAGTCTGACTGCAGACGTAACTGGTTAATGTAAAGTACAATGCAGATCACAGAAGTCAGTGCCATAACATGTTTGGTGCATGTGTGTAATGACTTTTAACTAGGAAAAATTAAACAGAAGCAACGTGTCAAAAGATTGGACTTTAATGTTCATTTTTACTAATAAAATATAAACAACCACAAAATCTCAGCTACAAAATACATCCACAAAACCACATCTATATAATCACAACCACGTAATCACATCTACATAACCACATCTACACAACCACAAAATCACAACCGCAAAATCACAATGGCATAACTACAACCACATAATCACATCTACATAACAATCACAAAACCATATCTACATAACTACAACCACATAATCACATCTACATAACCACAACCACATAACCACAACTACAAAATCACAATATAACCACACCTCAAAATCACAACCATGTAATCACATCTACATAACCACAACCACATAACCACATCCACAAAACCACATAATCACATCTATAATCACAACCACAAAATCACATCCACATAATCACATCTATGTGACCACAACCACATACAGCCAACTACAATCACTGCTTCTACACAAGTGAGCTAACAGCTAACAAACCAGTAGAAAGTCCATTTAGGCCGACTCTGCTCTGTCTGACTGAATGGAGTCGTGAGGTTTAAACATTACTGTGGTGATTTTTTAAATGCCTTTGTGAACAGTAAGCTGTACAGAGGCCGTATTATCCCACCATGCAGCTCACAGCTCTGTTCTGTTTTCAGTGTTCAGTGTAGCTGCTGTAGCTCAGTTTCTCAGACTCAGATGTGCAGCATGTTGTTGTGAATGAAACAGCTTTATTGGAAATTGTCTACAGAGGCCGAGTCAGCAAAGAACATCACACAGTGTGTGTGTGTGTGTGTGTGTGTGTGTGTGTGTGTGTGTGTGTGTGTGTGTGTGTGTGTGTGTTTTACCCCACAGTGCCATGAAGATGGAGAAGAAGACAGTGGCTGGGTTGTCAAACAGGTGGCTGGCGCGCGCCGTCCCACACGCAGAGCTCAGAGTCCAGTAACTACACACTCGGTCACACAGAGGACACATTGTTATATTCCTCCTACTGTCACAGATCTCCATACTGAGGGAGAGAGAGAGAGAGAGAGAGAGAGAGAGAGAGAGAGAGAGAGAGAGAGAGAGAGAACACATGAAATCATACCTTGAGCAACAAATTAATAATTAAACATAAAATTTGTACAAAATATTTCATACATTCCTGTCTGCATGCTGGCAGCTTCGTATGTTAATATTAAAAACTTTCTTTTTTACTGTCCAAATGGCCAAATAATCAAATCAACCGTCATAGGAAATGTTGAAATGTAGATGAAATGTTCATATAAGCTGCTCGAAATTAACTTGCCTACATTCATAAAACCAACAAATATATAATGTTATTTATATATTTAGTATACTTGAATATTATTTAGAATATTCAACATAAAATTTCATAACTGACTGTTCTATGATAACCTGTGAGGAAGCAGGGCACATTCAACGCTGCCGTTACAGTAAAATTGATGTTTCTCGCCGTGTTCAGATGCGGCTCAATCATCTTCAGCAAAGTTTCTGATGAAGGTGTTGAGTTTGTGAGTCACAGACAGCAAAGTCTGATATTCTGTGAGGTAAATGAGGCGAGGCTCCTGAATGACAGCTGTTAAAATAGCACTCGAGTTTGTGGAATAGAAGGAAGAAGAGCCGGCTCACGCAGATAAAACGCTGTCTGAGACACGGGAGACGCCACGCTTCTGCTACAAGCGGTCTTTACGGACACCAAGAGAAAAGGAACATAACAGACGGGCAGAGCAGGCCGGGTCACTACTAGCCACAGCTCGTCTCTCTATGGTAGATGCAAAGACCTCTAGTCCCACTGCCCCCAACACAAAATAACACAATAAACACAAACACACAACTTTAAACCAAGGAACAACAGCACCGCACTGCATACCACACTGCTAAAGCCCCTTCTATGAACTGGAGCATGTGGTCACCACCACAACATGGTCAACCTGAGCACTAATGGCCTTACAAAGCGCACTCAGAACTTTTTTGTGCCTTTTAATTTCAATCTCATAACAATGAGTGTGTTTTCATTATCTTAATAATCTGATAACTGCAGAAAATCTGATTATGTCAGTAACTGGTTCAGTGTGTTTACGCTTAATAATCTGATAACTGCAGAAAATCAGATTGTGTCTGTAACTGGTTCAATGCGTTTACGCTTAATAATCTGATAAGTGCAGAAAATCAGATTGTGTCAGTAACTGGTTCAGTGTGTTTTCATACTCTTGGGTAATCAGATAATGGGGAAACTCTATATGAGTCAGGCAGTAATCCGATTTCTGCTTTATAACCAGCCAATAAACTCACAGAATAAGATGTGGCATAAATGTAACATAAAACTTAAACTTCATAAGCGGTTTATTTTAAAACAATCGAGTCACTTTTAGCTGAAAATATGAACATACATCATCCAGAAAATGAAGAATATTTAAATCCTTCATTTCGTCAAGTGTGTATTCAGTTTCAGTGTCACTCCAAAAGTGCTGTGTTGGTCTCGCGGGTGCTGTGTTAAACGCTGCTCGCTGTTTCCGGAACGGCGCTCTGTTTTCACACATGCTCAGACTGAGAGAAACAAAAGAAATCAGGGTGAGAGTTTACAGCACTTAAAAACCCCATTACTGAGCTCAAATCCAGCCTCTTTATCAGATTTACTAATCAGATTTATATACCTTAATCTGTTTAAGTATTAAGTGCATGTAAATGCACTCAAAGTCACAATAAAATATGACGTCAGGGATCAGAAGATATGGGGGTTTTAGTTTTTCTCAAAATTTAAAAATGGTCAAAATGACAGTATTGGTCTTTCTAGTGTTAAAATTAAGTTTAATTCATGTTTACACACACACACACACACACAAACACACACACCACACACACACACACACACACACACAAACACACACACACACACACACACACACACACACAAACACACACACAAAATCACACCACTGACACTATAAAGGATGGTTACCATGACGACAGTGCACGCCGCAGGACGCCAGTGTGGACTACAGTTTGTTCGTACAACAGAACAATGGCCTTAACACCTTTTTCACTAATCTGGTATTTGGAGACTCAGTAGCTGAATGTGTGGGTTGGTGATGATCCGCGTCCACAGTTCTGAACACAGACGAGCACAAATATTAAATACAGATTTATCATTCAGCCACTCAGACTGTCACTGCAGCTCTCTGTGAATGTGTTTACTTCTCACTGTCACAGTGGAGCAAAGAATGAAGCACTAAAACTGAAAATCTCATTTATTATTATTTTATACACACACTGATCGTTTTATTAGGAACACCTGCACACCTACTCAATAATGCGATTATCTAGTCAGCCAATCGTGTGGCAGCAGTGCATAAAATCATAAAGATACAGGCAGCAGCTTCAGGTACTGCTCACATCACCCATCAGAATGGGGTGATTATTGTGATCTCAGTGATTCTGACCGTGGTGTGTTTGTTGTTCAGATGGGCTGGTTTGAGTGTTTCTGTAACTGCTGATCTGGATTTTCACACACAGCATCTCTAGAGTTACTCAGTATGGAGTAATAAAGAATAAACATACAGCGAGCTTCAGCTCTGCTGACGGAAGCGTCTTGTTGATGAGAGAGGTCAGTGGAGAACGGTCAGAGCAGACAGACAGGCTCACAGGCTCACCAAAACTGGACAGCTGAAGATGAAAAACATAGCCTGGTCTGATGAATCTGGATTTCTGCTAAGTCACACAGATGACAGGGTCAGAATTTGGCACCAGCACAATGAATCCATGGACCCAGCCTGCCTTGTGTGAGCCGTCCAGGCTGGTGGAGGTGGTGTAATGGGGTGGGGGATGTTTGCTCAGCGCACTTTGGGCTTGTTAATAAAAATCAATCGTTTGAAAACCACAGCCTGTTTGAGTGTTGCTGCTGACCATGTTCATCCGTTCCATCTTCTAACAGCTACTTCCAGCATGATAAAGCACCACATCACAAAGCAAAAGTCTCAAACTGGTTTCATAAACATGACAGTGAGCTCAGTGTTCTTCAGTGCCTCTACAGTCTCCGGATCTGAATCCAGTGGAACTGCTTTGTGATGTGGTAGAACAAGAGATTCACAGCATGAAAGTGCAGCTGAAAATCTGCATGAACTGCATGATCTGATCACATCAGTATGGACCAGAACCTCAAAGGAATGTTTGCAGCATCTTGTGGAATCCAGGCCACAAAGAACTGAGGCTTTTTGAGAGAAAAAGGAGGAACTTCCTGTATTAGTGTAGTGTTCCTGATAAAGGGTGTAAAAACCATTATAATATATAAAACTCACACTCTGAGCACATAAACCTGGAGTGAAGGACAGGTAACGGTCAGAAAAGGACAGTGTGACATAAGTGAAGGACAGTGTGATGTCAGTGAAGAACAGTGTGACATCAGTAAAGGACTGTATGAAGTCAGTAAAGGACAGTGTGATGGTCAGTAAAGGACAGTGTGATGTCAGTGAAGGACAGTGTGATGTCAGTAGAAGACAGTGTGACGTCAGTGAAGGACATTGTGATGTCAGTAAAGGACAGTGTGATGTCAGTAAAGGACAGTGTGACGTCAGTGAAGGACATTGTGACATCAGTAAAGGACAGTGTGATGTCAGTAAAGGACAGTGTGATGTCAATAAAGGACAGTGTGATGGTCAGTAAAAAGACAGTGTGATGTCGGTGAAGGACAGTGTGATGCCAGTAAAGGACTGTGTGATGCCAGTGAAGGACAGTGTGATGCCAGTGAAGGATCAGTGTGACATCAGTAAAGGACAGTGTGATGTCAGTGACGGACTGTGTGATGTCAGTGACGGACAGTGTGATGTCAGTAAAGGACAGTGTGATGTCAGTAAAGGACAGTGTGATGTCAGTAAAGGACAGTGTGATGGTCAGTAAAGGACAGTGTGATGTCAGTAAAGGACAGTGTGATGGTCAGTACAAGACAGTGTGATGTCAGTAAAGGACAGTGTGATAGTCAGTAAAGGACAGTGTGATGGTCAGAAAAAGAACAGTGTGATGTCAGTAAAGGACAGTGTGATG